CTTTTTATTTTTTATTTTGAGACAGAGTCTCACTAAGTTGCTGAGGCTGGCCTCAAACTTACAATTTTTCTGTCTTAGCCTGCAGTGTTGCTGGGATTACAGGTATGCACCACCATTCCCGGCCAAGAATAAAGAATCCATCAAGATACTAATGGTCATTTGATTATCAGCCTCTGAAAAATTATCCTAAAAACCAAAAAGAAAAATCTTAGGCACCCCAAGTATAAAATCTACGGGCTTCTTCAGAGGGACTGAGCTCAAACACATACAGTGGAACCTCCTGGACAGGATTCCACTTATTCTCAGGGAAAAACCCAAGGCTACAGGAGGATCCTTTTGTACCCCAAGGGCAAAATTACTGAGATGGAGAAGTTTTGCAAAGCTCTGGATCTGCAACTGCACAGCATCTTTACATGTAAAAATTAAGAATAAAAACATTTATCCTAGTAAAGCTGACAACGTGGAAATTATCATTTTTTAAAAAATACATGGAATTGGATTTGGGATTATTTTGGAGGATCTGCAGGGACAAGATAGAAAACCAAAAAAAAAAAAAAAAAAAAACCTATATCTATAAGTTAAAGGAAGAAAGGGTGGCAGAAGACTCATCCATTGGAAAGAACCCAATGTCAAAGAGCAAAAAGCTAAAATTCTAGTTGAGCCAAAACCACATGCACTGTGTAAAGTGGGTGAGCAACAGCATGGCCAAATGCCAAGAAGCCATGCTGAGACAAGTGAGCAGATGTGTAACAAAACCTTTGCTATTGCTTACTTTAAGTGACCAAAAATCATATAACCAAAAGAAAACCTCAAAAGGTATCCAAGCAAGACAGGAACCAAGTTGCCCCATTCAGACAACTGTCCATTTCATGTGTGTACCGGCTCCCCTCAACACACACACACACACACACACACACACACACATACACACACACACACGATGGAAGCCAAGAAGGCAAGCAAGCACTCCAGCACTGAGCTATACCCCCAGCCCTTCACCCCACTCTTACAGACCTACCAGGCAGGGCTTCAACCTGCCAGGGCTGCATGGGAAACAGATATGTGAGCCTGAGGACAAGCACGTGTGCAAAAGGCTGTAGGAAAATCACAGATTTTCAACAGGTCTGGGAGAAACTGGAGGTCAGCCCTCTGGAGGGCTATCAAAATTCCTGTCCTAGGAGGCAAAGCTTATGAAAAGAGTATAAATTGAGAAAAGTAATTAATAATTTCTATCACTAACAATCAGAGAATTTCAAATCCAGTTTACTGAATTTATCAAGACCGGTCTATTCTGCACTCCCCAGCACTGAATGTATTATAAACCAACTATTATCCCACTAATATGGTCTGGGTGGTGTGGTTGGTTTTATTTGAGAGCAGGACGCAGGGGAGAACTGAAGGGACCAGAGAAGGCAACATGTAGGGTTACTACTCAACTAGAATCAAGGCCAGGGAATGGCTATAAACACAAATGTGTCATTTAGAGACTGCACAATTATACTTCTCACCACTACATTACAAGACATTTTTTTATGATCCAGAGAGGACAGGAATGAAAATTAGGCCTTCCCACCTTAGCAAAGAAAGCAAAACAATAATGCAGATGCCAAGCTGGGAGTGTTCGCACACGCCTACAGTCCCAGCTGCTGGGGAGGTTGAGGCTGGAGGATAACTTAAGCCCAGGAGTTCCAGACCAGACTGGGCAACACAGCAAAACCTCATCTAAAAAAAAAAAAGGGCTGGGATTGTGGCTCAGCGGTAGAGCACTTGCCTAGCACAGGCGGGACCGGGATTTGATCTTCAGCACCACATAAAAATAAAGGCATTGTGTTAAAAAAAAGCAGATGCCTCAAAATTTTTGTGGTGCTAGGGATGGAACCCAGGGCCTAGGGCCTTAGCCATGCTCGGCAAGCACATTACCACTGAGCTACACCGACAATCCTTCTTTTTTTGTTTTTCCTTGAGATTGAACCCAAGGACTTCATCCCCTGGGTGCTAAGCTACATCCTTTTTATTTTTTATTTTAAGACAGAGTCTCACTTAGTTGCTTAGAGCCTGCCTAAATTACTAAGGTTGATCTCGAATTTGCAATACTCCTGCCTCAGCCTCCCAAGAAAACAGGGATTACTGGCTTACACCACCACACACAACTCCCTCGCTTTTCTAATAAAGAGAAAAATTACTTCAAAGAGATCATCTAGTTCTGGAAAAAAAATAATAAAACAGGGTTATTTGCCTTCAGCATCTGATGCTTAATCCTTTTAATGTAGAGACCAGGCAGCTTCCATTAAGGAATTTTGTGAGAAAGGAGCAATCAGTTAAAAACAAAACAACTCAGCAGGATATTCCCCCAATACTGGAGTATGTATTCCTCAAGACCTTGCTTGAGTGTCACAAAAACCATCCCTAAATCCCCACCCACCACCCTCTTCCTTCTCCGAATAACTAGGATCCCGCTAAGATTCCCAGCCAGACAATTCTACCCAAATTATATACGATTTGTGCTGCTTGCTAAAATTATATACAGACTTGTGCTAATTGTTTCATGTGTACAAATGCCTTTTCTTCCCCAAATACAATATGTGAATTAAGAACAATGCTTACTTTTACTCTTCAACTGTCTGCTCTCTCATCCTCAAGGCGGAGGTGAGCCTAGCCCCAGGAGACAGTTACACAGTAGCCTGAGAAACCCCCCTCCCTGAGGAAGGGGTTGACCACTTAAGTTTCTTCAAACCACAGCCCTTTGCAGAGCTGTGGGCAAGGGCTGGCACCCCATAGCCTCTCCAACACCCGAGACTGTTATCCACCTAGCTGGCTGCCAGTCCACAGCAGCCACAGGCTCTCCTCCTACTTGCCCTGTGTCTCCAACCTGCCCCACAAGTCATCCCTCAGAGGGCTTGTCAGCCTGACACCCTTCCACTGCCATTCCCAAGAGAAAGAAGTTGTTCACACAAGACCATACAACTCGGCTGGTGCCCTCATTTAATCAGGCTGCTGCAAATGGTTAGCCAAAAGCAATAAGGGCATGACTGAGAGACTGTGGGAGTTTAATATAAAAAAATTAATAAAAAAGGGGGGGGAGGGTCTACCTTTTAATAGGGCCCTAATTACCCAACTCACAGGATCAGCCCAAATGAGATGGGAGTTTATTTCAGGTTTTTTTTTTTTAATTATTGTTTTTTTATATATATATAAATTGCTGCTATGTGTTTTCTTTCCTCTGAGCAATTATGCAGCAAGTACGTAAAGAGGAGAAAAAAATATTAATTAAATATAAGGTAATTGTAGAGTTGGCCTGGAGAGAATGAGTCTGAACTCTGGACGATCACAGGCTACTAGGGTTTGAAGACTGCTCAGGGCCTCCCAGAAAAGAAAGAAATAAAAATACAACCGACCAACAAGCAGATGCATAATACAGCAGGAAAAGAGCCATGTACAGAAATCTTAACAGAGCAAAGCCCTGCAGGGCTCCCATGCCCAGAGGTAAGTGAGGATGCCAACTACACAGGGTTTCCAAAGAGTTTGCCCAATCATGCCCCAAAAGATGGGCTGGCCACTCTTTTTTTTTTTTTTTTTGGTACCAGGGATTGAACTCAGGGGCACTTGACCACTGAGCCACATCCCCAGCCCTATTTTGTATTTTATTTAGAGACAGGGTCTCACTGAGTTGCTTAGCGCCTTGCTTTTGCTGAGGCTGGCTTTGAACTCGTGATCGCCTATCTCAGCCTCCCGAGCAGCTGGGATTATAGGTATGTGTCACCTCGCCCAGCTAAGGGTTGGCCACTCTTTTGATGATCAATAGTTACATCAATAGATCGAAAAGAGACTAAAGAGACAAAGATTGAAGAGGAGTACTGTGTTCAACCTGGACTTTAGTCTAAATCACAACTTCAGCCTGAGTGGTTCTGAGGCTAACCCCATGGGACACACTCAAGCTTCCCAGTTGAGAGGCTGGGAAAGCCTTCTCTGCCTCCCACCCCAAGGAATAATACCAAAGGGCAAAATGAGGCCACTGTGGGAGAGATGGAAGTGAGCCCATATTGGTAAGAGCAGGTGACACAAATGATAGTACTCCTCTGAAATAGTCCTATCAGCACTTGTACCATCTCAGCCTGTCTACAGCTCAGCCAGATCCATGTCACCCTCCACCTAAGAAGGCCTTCGAACACACTAGAATTTGGACCTAATCATACCAGCTAAGGACCTCATGTCATCTCCTCCAACAGCTGTCAGGAAGAGAGTGAAGAAAACAGGTGCAACTGCAGGCACTGCTGAAAAAAAGCCTGGGCAGTGCCCCCTCAGCTTGCTGTCACCACTAAGGGAGAAAAGGCTCCGAAAAACTGAACCTAACACTGGCTCTTCCCTAAAGTTTACCTGGTTTGTAAAGAACCAGTCCTACTACCCAGCCAACAGGATTTGCCGCAGGCCATAAAATGCCAAACAGAATGAAAATGGGGCAGGCAGGCAGGGATTCTGATTCGGAGCACCACGCAAAAGTATTTGGCGAAGAAAATTATCCTTAGTACTTAGTAGCCCATTTCCCTATCAGCAGTCTATAAAGATAGTAGTGTTGGTAATGCCTGTCACAGCCCTATGGAAAAATCAGAATTCCCTCCCTTATCTGTTCCTTAAAGGCCACCCAAAGAAGCAGAGAATGGCTGTTTCATACAAACCAGGACAGACTGGCTGGGCCTAGCAACCTTGTTCCAACACTGCCTCCCAGGTTTCAGACATCTCACTGTCACACGCAAAGCGGTGCATAATCATTTAGGGTGGGTACTTTTAGTTCTGGAAAAGACCAGGCTTTAACAAGGAGAGATTTCACTAACCCCTACATGCTAGAACAGAAGACAGAGGTCAGAGGTCATGCACAGGAAGTCTCCATATAATATCTACTTTTGAAGGGACATTGCTGATGCAAACCATGGGATTGTAAGGTTTCTTTAAACTCACATGGTATTTTAATTACTAGAAAATGATACTATATCTTGGGTACTTACCAAAGGTTCTCGAGGCACCACATTTTCACTTCCTGGAGTAGAGCTTGGCTGCAAAGAGAAACACAAACAGAAAATAAGATCACAGTGCCACCCAATGGACAACAAAAAAACCAAAGATGTTCTATTCTCAAACAACACCCACAAATGCCCCTTTCTTATATTTCCCACTGGTTTCTCAAAAATTTACAGTGTTTTACGGTGAGCTGTCTGTAAGAAGTAGCCCACGAGTGTGAATTAGCCAAGAAACATAGACTACTGTTGGATTCACTGTCACAGCCCTCAAGAACAAGGCTTGATTTTATCTGGGAGAACTGAAGTCAGATGTTAAGAAGGAGGGGTTGGGGACCATCACAAAATCCATGGAAATAGCAAAGTCCAGAGAAAGGACCAAGGAGAGAGCCACACCTCTTTTTTGCTACCTCCTTGGCTCAAGGTGACTAGGAAGAGCCCAAAGCAAAATTGGAAAACCAGATACAGCCACAAGGGGGCACCATTTGCCCATACTCAGGATTTTCTTGAGGCATCTATCTGGAGCCAAGAACAAATATGTATTGCCTGTCAGGAAGAATACTACCCAAACAAAATAGTTAAGAAAGTCCCAGACTTAAGTGTTTTATGGAAATAAGCTAGTGACAGGCTAGCAAATAAACAGACTAACTTACAGGCAGACAGGCACCACTGGCCAACAGGCCTGGCCCCAAATGTTTCCTTCTGGGGACAACTACCTCACCCTCACAAGCAAAAACCTCAATCCTCAATTAAGCTGACCAAAATTTAGAGAAAAAAGAGAGAGACAGACAAATTTCTAAAGAAATTTACAAATTCCCACAAGAAAACAAGCAGTTTGAGTGAGTTATGATTAGTTTACTGTTTCTAATGTTAAAGTCAATTGCCATTTATCTGCAGATAATATCCAGACAAGTGCAGGCAATGTGCATTCCAGAAGCCAGTATCCAGCCTCCACTCTCCTCCCAGCCAGTTCAGACAGCCCGTGCCAGCCTCCTTGGAGACAGGGCCAAAGGTGAGTCTGGTTGCCACTTCACAGCTGGCCCATGGCTCAGTGGCAAGGCCTCTGAGGGATGAAAGACCCTATCCCTCCATGCAGAGTCCGGTCCCAGGACAAGGTCAACCAGCATGAAACTTAGTAGAAGTGGGTCAATCTAAAATCTGAACAAGCTTTCCCTGCCTTGCCCTCCCAGAACACTGGGCATCAATAAGCTCACTGGGAGATCTCTAGGCCTGATCCCTCTGAGCACCACATAACTCATAGCAGACTCACAACCCCCTCCCTCTACCACAGGAGTCCTATACCATTTCAGTGTTGCCTGTCTAGACAAAGGGCACAAGCTTCAACAAAATGCACACGTAAGAATCTGAAAGGACTCCTCGAGAGCTGCTCCTCCTCCTCTTTCACTTCCCAGAGCTAACCCATGATCACATTCTGTTAATATTCCTCCCCAAGTATCCATGGAATCAACCCCTCCACTTTTCTCCATCTCTACTACCACCCTGAGTTTAATCTCCAGCACTGCCAAAAAAAAAAAAAAGTCTACTACCATCACTTTGGTCTTGCCTAGACCACTGCAACAGCTTTCTAATTAGCTCACCCACATCCATGCTGGCTCCCTTCCAAAACATTTTCCATGATGCAAACAGACTATCATTTCCTGTGGTAATCAGGACGGGCTTAGGGGCACACACCTGCAGTCCCAGACATTTAAAAGTCTAAGGCAGGAGAATCACAAGTTCAAGGCAGTGTGGGCAACTTAGTTAGACCCTGTCGCAAAATAAAAAAATAAAAATGGTTGGGGATGTAGCTCAGAGGCATATCCTGGGCTTTACCCCTAGTATAGCAAAAATAAAAATAATCAGATCATCTCATACCTTATCCACCCCAGTAAGCAGTAACATCATATTCATACACACACACACACACACACGTGTGTGTGTGTATGTATGTGTGTGTGTGTATATATTTTTTTAAAGTTGTCAGTGGACCTTTATTTTATTTATATGTGGTGCTAAGAATCGAACCCAGGGCCTCACACGTGCTAGGCAAGTGCTGTACCACTGAACCACAACCCCAGCCCCAGCAGTAACATCTTTAATGGCTTTTTATGGCTAGAGAAGACAGAAAAAAACTCAATGTGGCCTTCAAGGCTTCACATCCACTGATGATATCTTGGGTCTCCAGTGATAACACATTCCCCAGCTCCGTCTATAACACATACTGGCCTCTGTCAAGGGGCCTTTGCATATGGTGCTCCTTTTCCTGCCACTTCAGCAACTAGCCAGCTGCAACTCCTCCTGAGGAAAACAGTCTTTCTCTGACATCCATGATCAGGTGGAAGCTCCCTATTACACACCCACAAGACACCATATCCCTCTCCTTCAAGAAATGAGCAGAGGTTGCTGGGAGAGGTGGTGCATACTCAGGAGGCTAATGCAAGAGGATCACCAGTTCAAAGCCAGCCTGTGCAACTTAGTGAAGCCCTAAGCAATTTAGCAAGACCCTGTCTCAAAATAAAATTTAAAAAGGCTGAAGATGTGGCTCAATGGTTATGTGCCTCTGGGTCTCATCCCTGGTACAAAAAAATGAGCAGAGGGCTAGGAGTGTGGCTCAGCCCCATGCTTAGCATGCTCAAAGCCCTGAGTCTAATCCCCAGCACCAAAAGGGAAAAAGAAAAAAAAAAAAAAACTGAGCAAAACTGCAATTTTATATTTGTGTGATCATGTGAATGATGTGTCTCCCTCATCAGTAAAAATCTCCACATGGGCAGAAACTGTGTGCTTATCACTGTATCCCTGGGGCCTAGAAGAGTGCCAGGCACAGATTAGGCCTTCAACAGGGATAGTGGTTTAGGGTTGGGGATGTAGCTCAGTGATAGAACACTTTCCTAGCATGTGTGAGGTTCTGAGTTCCACACCCATAACACAAAAAAAAGAAAAAAAAAAAAACAAGAACAGATATTTGTCAAGTAAATGAATAAGCCACAAAGAATAGAACAATGGTTCTAACTCATTAATACATAATGTGTTATATATTAAAGTTCATTATCTTCCTAAAGGCTTCCTTCAATCCATCTGGCAGATACTAAGTGCTAGCATTTATTTATTAGCGCTTTCTTTACTTAATTCTCACAATATTTGCACAAAAGTATTTCTAATAAGGAAACTGAGGAAAGGAAGGTCAAATAACTTGCCTATGACAACTAGTCCTACAGGGATTTGAACACTTCTACTTAATAAAAACAATCAAATTTTGTTTACATCACACATCACTATAACTCACTGTCACTAAGGAACTTTCCTTAAAAGCGGTTCCTCTTGGGTGGGGGGTGTAGTTCAGTGGTAGAGTACTTGCCTAACAATCACAAAGCTCTGGATTTCATCCCATCAGCACAAACAACAACAACAACAAAAAAAAAAAAAAAATAGTTCACCTCTTCAGTAGTTAATATTTGCCAGAGGAAAAAACTTCAAACAATATACATTGACAACTAACTTCTACCCTTTAGCACCTTTTTTCAACTATGAGCCATGTAAATGTATTGTTTAAAAACCAAAATTTACGGGCTGGGGTTGTGGCTCAGCGGTAGAATGCTCACTTAGCACGTGCTGGGTCCTGGGTTCAATCCTCAGCATCACATAGAAATGGATAGATAAAGGTATTTATCCAACTATAACTAAAAAAATAAATAAATATTTTTTAAAAATTTAGGGCTGGAGTTGTGGCTCAGTGGTAGAGTGCTTGCCTAGCATGTGTGAGGCACTGGGTTTGACTATCAGCACTGCATATAAATAAGTGAATAAAATAAAGATCCATCAACATCTAAAACAAATAATTTAAAAAATTAAACATTGAGAATAAAAAAGAAAGCTTCCTTCTCATTCCAACCCTACAGAACCACCACTGAATAGGTTCCTTATCAACTGAGCTATATCCCAGCCCTTATCAATTCTTCCAAGGACACACAAAGCAGGAGATCCCCACCAAGGAACTTCACCCAGTAACACCCTCCAAAGTCCTCCAGTCTTGGCTTTCCTATCTTCTGGACACACAAAGCCAGCCCTCTAAGCTCAATGTTAGGGTTGCTAAGAGGAGACAGCATTTCCCCAAACTGCATTCCAACCCACGTGTTGTCCCAGACCAATTAAACAACATCAGTGAACTAAGAGGGCTTTGCACCAATCTGGGAATTGCCCAACACCAATTACATTCTAGATGATTCTCAAGCTCATGATGAAATTTCTGCTGTCCAAAAAGTACTAGCACCCATTTCCTGTCTAGTGTTCATTAGAAAACAGTTTCTTGATGACTAAATCCAAAATAGCCTCCATCCTTACTTCCCTGGGAATACCTTTGGATAGTCTTTGTTAAATAACTAGTTTGCCATCTTTCTCTTCCACTAGATTTTAAGCTTCTTGCAGACAGACATTTTACTATCTTATTAAAGTATCTTCAGCAGCCAGAATATCACTGGTACTCAATAAATATGGACATCATTAAAATTTCTTATTTAAACAATCAAAACAAAGGAATCAGTTGACATATATATGCCCAACAAAAGCAAGTACAGGACCAGGGCAGGGTCTTTCCCTGGAACCTAACATAAATGTGGCCTACTCTTAATATAATGTTATGGACAGATAATTCTCTACTGGGCAGTATCACTCTCATGGGTCATTTGGAAATACATGGAGGTGTTTCTGGCTGTTGCCATAACTCCGGAGGGTCCCAGTGGCATTTAGAGGAAAGAGGGCTAAATGCACCCAAAGATGACCTGTTCCATCTTAAACACAAAGAGGACTCTCTCCAAGGAGACTCCTGACCAGTCTGCTTTCTCATACAGAAGGACAGGCTCCCATCACAAACATATAACTCCAGGCACTTCTTGAAAAAGTGAGTAGCTGACTGCCTGTATGGGGGTGCAAGCCCAAGCTCAGCTGGCCTGCTAGTCTGACCAGTCCAGCCTTATGAACGCCCAACACATTTTCAAACACCTACCCCTATATCTGCCCCTTTTAGTGGTCATGTCCATTATCTG